GTTCAGAACAGAATTCCAGAATTATTCTGACATGAAGTCCTTAGAAATTGTTAGAAGTATTTGGAGGGATTTCTGTGGAGAAGATTGCAAGTTCTAAATTAAATTATTAGGTAATTTTTGAAGAATCCTTAGATAATTAAGATGAGACTAGAAACTAGAAACAGAGTTCTAAAAGTGTTCTGGCCACCCTAGTGTGAATGATTCATCAAAGAGCTCCAACAAAATTTATTGCAAAAAAAATTGCTGATAATGCTAATAGAAATTCTTTAAAATACTCCATGAGGTTTCTAAAAAATTTCAATGTTCGAAAGATTTATGCTAGAGTTAAAAGAAAATTTTGAAAAGGATTTCAATGAAATCAAAGTCTCCGAATATGTTTAAGTGAATTCTAAGACGGATTCCAAACAATTTCTTAGAAGGGGTTTCAAGGAAATTCCAAAAAGAATTCAATGGTAATTATTACGCAGAGTGTTTTCTGGTTAATTTTGAAAGAATTCTATAATAATTCAGAGCAGGATTCCAAGTTCATTCTGAAATTCATATCGTGAGAATTTATAAAAAAAAAATAAAACCCGGGGAAATAATAGTTCAGTTTCAGTTTTTTAAAATATGTTTTTCTTAAGTCCAGCATCTTCAATATTTTGTTTTAAGGCTCATGCACTTAACATTTGAAATTGAATCGCAAAAATCAATTTGAAATATTGCTGAGTGATTAAATTCTAAAAACAATAAGGCAGGAATCTGAATAAAATGCAGCAATTAGAGAAAGACATTCATTCGGTAAAAAATCAATCTGTTTTAATGATTTATTCTGAAATTCTGGTGTGAAAATATATTCCTATGGTGTGTCTAATTTATTTTTCCCGGTTCTCTCATCGAATTCCCGGGTTTTTCCCGGTTTTCCCGGTTACTTTCAAATTCCCGGATATTTCCCGGTTTTCCCGGTTCGCTGGCCACCCTGACTCAACGAGAAAGCCGCAGTTCATCCAAACGCAGCGCAATTGGAACATTGCCGCAAAAGCTCAACGCAGATGTCGCCACTGCATGATGATGATAATGTTGACAGACTGTATATAAAATTCGTGAAAATTAGCATTAAATCATAATTTTCATAAAGCCTGCGTGAAATCCTTCCAATATAACATTCGAATTGAAGAAGAAAACGTTTTTACGATCAGACTGATGTGCATCTTTGACTTTTCCAGGTGAACTTTTCAAGATATATTCATTTCATTTCACGGCTCCATCAATGCTACATCGTAAATATGATGGTAAACAGAAGTAAATTGCTCAATTACTCAAAATAAAGATGATTTGTCATCTTGTTATCACTTTGAAGACCATCTAGCACCATTTTATAGCATGGTGAGTAAATCAAGTTCCGGTGCGTTTTCCGTCGAAAATTGTGAGTATCAATATGTTTGCTTAAAAAAGGCCAAAATGAACATTTATTGAATATTGGCGTCCTATACAACCAATTCTCTATTACCACCAGCATGATACAACCTTTCCTAAGTACATTCACTTAATTTCCACTTTCATCTTTGTGAAAATCGCACATATTTACCATTTTCTGAAAAATGCAGCTGCGCAGGAGGTAACCTCTCCCTGTGGGTGCAAACTTGTTATGCATAATTTGCCATGAAAACATCTCCGATCCATACCGAAATAATAACAAATAGTTTTCAAATACGTTTTCTTACACGATTCAAGCAAAAGTTTCCACGGGAAATTATTATTTTTTCTTTATGGACCGATTTTCCCTAAAAAGCGTCTGTTTAACTTGGAAACTTTGGAAACTATCCTCCTTCTTGTAGTTCTCGCTTCGAAATGTAGGTGGCGAAAGCTTGGAAAAGTTTCACTGCAAGACGCCAATTGTTTGCTAAAATTGCAAAAACAAAACCCGCTGCAGTGAAAGCGAAGGCCGTGGAGAATGCATCTGAAGAGTCTGGATCGGAAGGGCAGCTCAGCTCAGCTGCTTCTGAAGGTGAAAGTGCTGTGAAAATACCAAAGCTGGAATTTCCAGATCCAGTAAGCAGCAGCAGCAGCAGTTTGAGCTTCAACTCCCAAGCTTTTGGGCCGGCATCATCGATCGAGCATAGGCTAGAAATTATGGAGAACAAGATGGACGACATGGGAAGGCAACAGGAAAAATGTTTGCTTCTTCTTGCACAAGCAAATGCCAAAATCGATTCCCTTTCATCGGCATTGGAGAAAAAGCAAACCGGAGAGGAACCTGAAAAATCGCTCGAGTTGACGTTGACGCTGAACCCGGTCAAAAGTTTGGAAGACTTGGAAGCCTCTGAGGAGCTATGCAAGGACGATTGCTATGTTGAAAAAGTCGTTCGTTCGATGGGATAAATTCACGGAACAAACCCTTTCAAAAACAATGGAGGTACCGTTTGTCTCCAAATGATCGATTTTTTTGTTGATAGGTTCAAACATATTATTTTGACAAACTAACTCCAATGAATGGTCAAGGCTGGGATCATTGTATCCCATGTTCGCTTCGGATTCACTGTGATGCGATTCCTGTTCGTCCGCTGGTTTCCACTCATGTTGGCCAGCAGTTGAAAATAACAATTCTGGTTGCGCCAAAAGTACGTCACTGCGTTTTTGTATTTTAACCTTACTGTTACACCTGTCAGATACTGTAGCTCGGATTTTGTTTCGAGAATTGGTTTCAGGTACTATTAAACAATATTTATTCACGCTCCGTTTAAAACAGCCACTTTTCAAAAGGTTTCTCCACTTTTTTCCTGATGAATCCATGTTCGGTCTATTGTTATGTTAAAAAATTGGAAACGAAGAAGTGTTTACAAACAGATGATGAAAGTTTATAAAGTGCAACAATTACTTGCCATTTTTCTAGCAATGAAGCATTTGTTAAGATAGTGCAATAATGCATTAATAAATGATTGTAAATGCACATTTAATGTTCAGATGATTGTTGAAATAAAGTAATGCATCGTTGCATTCACGATGTTGATGTAATGCTTCATCGCATGGGAATTGTTGATAAAGGGTGATATTGCATTACGATTGTTGATACTCACTCGAATTAGTGCTATGATATAATGCTTGTGGTTACTTGGGTAGTGCCGCATAGTGAGAAAATTCTGAACTATTGTCACCCAACAAAAAGATCTTGACTTCCTGAAAAACTTTGCCAAATACATTTACTTACTATCTGGTCAGGATCTAGAGATATTATATATGGAAGAGTTTCACATTGACCTCCTGAACAACTATGCCGGAGACAGTACCTTTCTATCTGGTTGGGAACTCGAGATATTTTATATGGGAATTTCACGTGTATACTAGCGTCGCATAGTGAGCAAATTCTGAACTATTGAGCACCAAGCAATAGGCTTTGACCTCCTGAAAAACTTTGTGAAAGACAGTAACTTTCTATCTGGTCAGGATCTCGAGATATATCACACGCGAGAATTTCACACTTATACTAGCGCTACGTAGTGAGAAAATTCGGAACTACTGTCCGCCAGCGACAAGGCTATGAGCTCCTGAACAACTTTGTCGGAGACAGTAACTTTCTATCTGGTCAGGATCTCGATATATTGCATGTTGTAATCAATGAAGTGAAATCCCACGTAGTATGGCCACAGTTTACGCGGTTTTCATTTAAATTTTCCCTATTATCCGCATTTTTTAGGTGTATACTGTAATCAAAGTTTAGCTTGTTTCGATAAAAAAAAAAAGTTTTTTGAGGAATACTCATTGGTTTCAGATCGATTGGTAGCTCAGCAACGAAATGGCAATGGAAAACTCATGTGTACAAAGTACAACAGCGCGAGTTAACCCTCCGTTACTTTTATCATAAATTAGGGCATTTTTAACATTAATTATTGGTAATCCATGATTACCGATAATTTAGGTATGTGCACTTTCTTCGATTATAGGTAATTTTTACCGATATCTAGGTATTCTTTACCAACTTTTAGGTATGTGCATCTTAGCGTGTAGAATATTTTCAGCCTTTTGTGATTCGGTCTTCTGTACGGGTCCCACGAACATAACGTTCAAGCTCATGACCATCCGAGTCGTGAGCGCGTACAGAACCATTTCGTCGGAAGAGTATGTGTTATCGCCAGAATGATCCCTATCGGCATCACTTTGGCGGATGACAGTGAGTACTACATGCGGAAATAAACCAAAGGAGTACCGAAAATGGTGAAAACGGAGTCGATGGCCAAGTGGCAACAGGAATGAGACACGACGGCGAATGGTGAGAACGGAGTCGATGGCCACAGGTACCGATTCTTTCGACCTGGGTGAACAGAAAGCATGGAGGGGTAAACTTCCACCTGACGCAATTTCTATCAACTCATGGTTGCTTCAAGTAACTACATCGGTTCGGACACACAAGGTCACCTTTCTACCTTTCCACCATAAAGGAATCAGTCAAAAAAACCACGAGATAGTGATCTTGACTGAAGATTGAATCAATGAAGATAAAAATCTAATTCCGATCCCAGAAAGTCACAGGCTTCAGAAAGTTAATGTCTTTGCGAGAACAATTATAACACTGGGACAGCACACGGCGACAGATCTAGATGCTATGCTAAGAGTAACATAGATAGAAAGCATAAAGTGTTACACTAAATCACTAAGTGTTTAATTTAAGGCTCTATGGAGAAAAGTATGAACTATGGAACTATGGCTCCTATGCATTATGGTTGAATCAAAATGAAGTAGATATGAATTGTCGTCAAAAAACATGTGATAAATAACTTTACATTACTTCATTTATCTTAATGCCCAAACTAGTTATATAACTGAAACCAACAAAATCTAACATAAACAATAAACAATTGATGAAACATATGTTACACAAATAATTGAATACAAACATCGAAACCGTATGTACACAGAACGAGCAGATATGCCTTCTCCCAGAACAAATTTACATGTTTCAACTAAAAAAATAGAAAACCGCTACCAAGAGCAGTACGCGACTGCCCATTAACCGCAACACTTACGTTGGGCCCTTGGCGGTTGGTTTCTGTTTTGCCGAGAGAATAATCGCTCGTTTCCGTAATCTGAAACAAAATGAAGCCTTAGAGAAAAATGGAATTCAAGATAAGAACCTATTAATAAACAAATCCTCCCAGAGACTATCATTTGCAGGCGGCGAGCTTAACCAAACAGAAAATAACACAATATTAATCAATCATTTACGGTGACGATGAAGGCGACTAAAGGACGACGACGACGACGATGGCGAGTAAACGGCTAGGTGGTGCAATGGGTGAAGCTAAGTGATCATTCTAATGAGATGGCAATGACTAAAATGTATAGCGTGTGATCTGATGCCGAAAATCCTCAAACTTACCCCGGACTGCTTTGTCCTTCGCCTTCGTCGGCGCTTTCGATCGTCTTGGGGTGATCTTCATAGCCCAGTTCGAATGCATTGTGGGAACGCTGACTTTGGCCTCCGGAAAGGACACTCAGGTCGGCCGTTGACGTAACGGACGTGTCGGCAAGAGATTTCCGCGAGCTGCCCAGCAGCGAACCGCCATCTTCCGATTCGGGAACGTGTCCTAAAGGTAGGTGACACAAAGAATATAAGACACAGAGCGGTTAGTTACAAGGGGGTTTGTGGGTGCAATGTGTTTCAGTAGTGCCGGATAGCTGTGCTAGTAGTGTGCAGTTTTCAATTCGATAAACAGTTGGATATCGGCATGGACAACTATTAAGCATATTACACACCTCTCACACATTACCACCGGTTTTGTATCGGAAATAGAGGGATCGTGAAGTGGACTATGAAACGAATTCCTAAATACAAACACGTGGCAGCACTATAAACGAAGAAAAAAAAAATATCGGCATGAAATGATACAAACATATGAAATGTTTGAATGTGGGAGGGAAATGAACCTAATGTTAAACAACGAAAAACATATGCTTGGAGTTCAAACTCAACACTGCTGCTCATGAATGTTGGTTGATTCAAACGAAGACAACAGATCATACAGGCTGGCAACTTTGTCGGAATCAAAGGGACAGATGGGGATTTTTTTAAATATCGAACAGCTTTGGGCCAAAGGGGTCACAGTGGTGGCCATTAAAATAGAACAATATGCCGATTTTCATACAAACTAATTTTAGCATGTTGCAATTATGTGTTGTTATGATCAATTGAGCTGATATTTTAACACAGAACTACAAATATGCTGAATTTCTGCGTTTACGTAATATTAAATTATTGGAAGCGCTTGCCGAAAATTAACGGGCTGGTTGAAAATGGCCAACTAATTAGAACATTTATAATTCGAAATTTCCGAAGTCTATTATTTAGGAAATTTTTGACCATATCTTGAATAACTTTCTTAATCACGTTGTCGTTTATTGGTAATATGGTTGAAATTTTTTAAATTATAACACTTCGGAAATTTCGAATTATAAATGAGCTATTTTATTGGCAATTTTCAACCAGCCCGCCAAACGCGGCGCCGCACAGTGGTTGAAATCGTCGTTTTTGCGCGCTTAATTAATAACATCTTTATTTTGAAATTTAGGGCTATGGTGTCTTCTGAGAAGTTTATCAATAAATGTATGCGCTTCTTTTGGGCTTTTCAGCACAAGGATTAATCCCCCTTAAAGTGAGATAGAAAATTTATTTGTTCAATTTTACAATATACAGGGTTGGTGTCTTGACAAAAGTTTGAGGAATTATTCTTTTGAATAACTTTGTTGAAGACACCTAAACCTTAACTTGCTCACTTTTGGAGATATGATACGTTATTTGTCGACAACCCCTTAAAAGTGGTTTTTTAATCATAACTTTTTTATTATAACTTTTTCGACTTTGAGATGTTGTAGAAAGTTATAAACAACGCTAAAATACAAAACTTTGTCCAATACAGCAACCCTGTAGTTTTTCAAATTAAAAAGTTATTAAGGTTTTTATTGTTTTTTTGGCCATTTTTTATGTACTTGTAACTCAATGTGGTGCAAAATGGTGCAAGTTATCAACCATGCATGTGAAACTACAAGTAATTTACTTTAAGATGATGGCAAAACTCTTAGACTGTAAGCGACTGTAAGATATGTTTAGTGTAAAAGCAATTAATCATATTATAGTCATTCTCAACCACGTGTTACTTCATTTTTTTTTAATATGTGTAAGTGAGATCATGCCTACATGTATAATATTGATATGGTTGTCGTGGTGACAGTGTTCGTTTGTTTATCTAGTGGTTCAGTTTTCAAGCTTGAGTATTTGTCTACACACAAATGGCTTCCACAGGTACGTTTTTTTTTAACTTTACTGCATTTTTTGTGAAAGTTATGTGATGAAACATTTTTGAATAAATTTTTATTCCTTTAGTTGAAATAGAAAAACGACATCTGTTTTCAATATGGAAAGCAACAGGAAGATATTTACCAACCAAAAATCACAGCGTGTTCAAAGAGGTGCTCAAATATTATTTGATTGATTCCAACATTATGCCGGAAGTTGCTGTGGAGGTTGCAAAGTACACAAAAGTTACTTGTGATGCTTTTCAAAAACTGTGGCTTAAATATAACCGTTCAGCATGCAAGGTGTTGCATAACCATGTTGAATTTTTTGATAAACCGTTTAAGCTTCCTGCAAGTATCCTGAACATGCTTCCTTCATCATCAACAAGTGCCCAAATCGGTCGTAAACCAATTCCTTTCGACAAATGCAGTGAATCAACAAAGAGAAGAAAAACAGCGGCCATTCGTGAAAATCATCCAGTGGAAGAACTTGTGTTTGCAACGCAAATAAAGCTTCGCGAATCAGGACAAAAACATGCTGCTGACATTCTTAAAGAGGCTACGCAGACAAGTCCATCGCGGGCAAGAAGGATTGCTAAAGCATGGGAAAAATCATCAAATCATCCATTGTTTGAGTACAGTGATGCTAAAGCTTTGGCATTATTAATAGATGCAAAGTTATCTAAGGCACAGTACGTAAAAATTCAATCGGGAGCGAAAGATCTAAACGCAAATATATATCCACCATATCATCGCATCCTAGAAGCCAAAAAAGCTGCTATCCCGATAAGGACTATATAGCAGTCAGCGACACGTGTGTGGAAGTCAAATTGCAACAATTGTTGGACCATACTTCGGAACGAATCATTGATGCTAATGAGGAAAATTTGGACAACTATTCAGATGAGGGGCTTCTAGACATCAAATTGACGGTTAAGTGGGGGATGGATGGCAGCTCTGGAAATCCGGAGTACAACCAAAGATTTGAAAATGACGATGGTTCAAAAAGTGAAGCGAACATATTCATCACCTCACTAGTTCCAATAGTTGCGGAAACAAACGGGAAGTATTTTTTTTGTAATCCTCGGCCATCATCGACTCGGTTATTCCGGCCGATAAGAATACAAATGATTTCTGAAACTACTGAACTTGCTGTTCTAGAGAAAAACTATATTGAACAACAAATTGAGAAGCTATTGCCAACTAAAATCACGAAATACGGACGTGACATGCGTATTCAGTATTGCATGTTACTAACTATGGTAGACGGGAAGATATGTTCTGCGCTAACAGGTACAAAATCGTCACAAAGGTGTTTTATTTGCTTAGCGAAACCGACCGATATGAACGACATTGATAGAGTTCGAAAACTAAAAGAAGCTGAGTCAGCATTCCAGTACGGATTATCACCACTGCACACGTGGATAAGATTTTTTGAATATTTTATCCATGTTGCATATAAACTTGAAACGAAGAAATTGCAGTCACGGCGAAAATAAGCAGAAAATGCTAGAACGTAAAAAGAAAATTCAGAAGCGATTGAAGGTGGAAATGGGGATGAATGTAGATCAACCACGACCTGGAGGATCCGAAACATCCAATAACGGAAACCTTGCTCGTAAATTGTTTGCAAATGCTGAAAAGGTAGCGGAGATCACTGGACTCGATCATATAGCCATCCAGCGCTGTGGTTCTATTCTTCAATCCATAGGATCAGGTTATGAAATCGATACAGTAACATTTGACAAATATTGCATTGAGACAGCCCGCTTATTAGTCACCTTATACCCGTGGTATTATTTACCAGTAAGCGTTCATAAAGTCCTTGTTCATGGGTCTTCCATAATCAACCATTTTATGGTCCCAATTGGCCAACTTTCTGAGGAAGCGCAGGAAGCGAGAAATAAAGATTGGAAAAGGTAGGTAAATACAAACATTTTATGTATGTGCATTTTATTACCAATGTTTATCCGACAAACAGGTACCGTGAATTCAACACTCGAAAAGTTTCGAGACAAGCCACGAATCGAGATCTCATCAATATGCTTCTTGTGTCATCTGATCCTTTGATCACAAGCATTCGTGGATGGTCAAAAAAAATTGGAAAAATCGTTTTCACAGGACGCAAAAAGTCTTCTGAAGAATTTTCATCATGACAGCAAGAATGACAACGAGGATGATAACGAGAATGACAGCGAGAATGACAGCGAGAATGACAGCGAGAATGTCAGCGAGAATGAATGAAATAGATAGATTGCGAAATATTTGAATCCAGGAGTTTTTGATTATCAACAGAATAGAAGAAAACGAAAAATTATGAAATGTGCGTACGTATTTTTTACTAAAAATGATTGAATGCACTTACACTAAACATACCTTACAGTCGCTTACAGTCTTAGAGTTTTGCCATCATCTTAAAGTAAATTACTTGTAGTTTCACATGCATGGTTGATAACTTGCACCATTTTGCACCACATTGAGTTAAAAGTACATAAAAAATGGCCAAAAAAACAATAAAAACCTTAATAACTTTTTAATTTAAAAAACGACAGGATTGCTATATCGGACAAAGTTTTGTATTTTAGCGTTGTCTATAACTTTTTAGAACATCTCAAAGTCGAAAAAGTTATATTAAAAAAGTTATGATTAAAAAACCACTTTTAAGGGGTTGTCGACAAATAACGTAACATATCTCCAAAAGTGAGCAAGTTACGGTTTAGATGTCTTCGACAAAGTTATTTAAAAGAATAATTCCTCGAACTTTTGTGAAGACACCAACCCTGTATATTGTAAAATTGAAAAAATAAATTTTCTATCTCACTTTAAGGGGGATTAATCCCTGTGCTGAAAAGCCCAAAAGAAGCGCATACATTTATTGATAAACTTCTCAGAAGACACCATAGCCCTAAATATCAAAATAAAGATGTTATTAAATAAGCGCGCAAAAACGACGATTTCAACCACTGTGCGCCGGTGGTGTAGTGGTAAGCGTGATTACCTCTCACCCCAGCAGGCCTGGGTTCAATCCCAGTCGGCGCCGCCGGGATGTTCTGAGGCATAACATCTCTGATCACGCCTTCCTTTGGAAGGGAAGTAAAGCCGTTGGTCCCCGGTTCATGAGTTGATTGGTCGATATGTAGGGTCCAGGTGTGGGGAAGCTGCCTTCCTAGCGTCGGTAGCATTGGTGCTCAGCACGGAAAACAAGATCGACGGAAAACAAATCTAGGAAAAAAAACCAGCCCGCCAATTTCCGGCAAGTGCTTCCAATAGTTTGATATTACGTACACGCAAAATTCAGCATATATGTAGTTCTGTGTCAAAACATCAGTTCAATTGATCATAACAAAACATAGTTGCAACATGCCAAAGTTGGCTAGCTTGTATGAAAATCGGCCTATTGTCCTATTTTAATGGCCACCACTGTAGCTGTGGGGAAATATTCATAAAACTCTGAGACCCTTTAGCCCATTATGGCCGATAAATCCCTGGATACAACAGCGCTGCGCTTGACTAAATATAGAACCGTGACATAGAAAAATGAGAAAATACTCAAACAAGTACATTTATTTTAAAATTAACACCCCGACTTCAAATACGTTTATGTGTTTGTCTCTTAAGGCCCACGCACGTTGCATCCGTTAGTGATACGTTGCGGCAAAGTGACAACCAAATCTATTGTCTAACTGTCATATTTGTCGCAATGGATGCAATGTGCGTGGGCGCGTTTGTATGAGTTGCCAGTTTTCTTGATATATAGTCTGCGATTCGAACCAAAGTGCGACGGCTGTATTTCTGTTTCAAAAAGTACATTTTCCCAATAATTTACAACGATTAGAACTGTTCTTTTAGTCGAGAATCACTGCCTTTGTTTATTTTGGTGGTTCTCTTGTGGTGGCAAAGGGTCTCATATTTATGGTTATATTTTGATGAAAGTATGTCTCAAAGGCTATTTTTTAGCAACACATCGATAATATGCGTATTTCAAGATCCTTGAACTAAAACTTATGCTGAAAATTTAAATTCAAAGCAGAAATTGCTCATGTCGGAAAATAAAAGCAAAACATTGAACCTACTCATGGTCTGCATGCAAACTTACCGGTATTGAGGGGAGTATTAGAACCACTTCCTATCGTGGCGTTTTGGTTCAGGTTGGCAATCTCTTGAACAGTAATCTCACGCCTGGAAAGAAAATTGAATTAAAAAGGAAACACCTAACAAATTTCCCTAAATCAATCCCAATGGATTCACTCACTTTATCTTCACAGTCTCAGTGACTTCCTTCTCCGTTTCAGTGAATTCCATCTTGCGGCGACCAATCTGTTGAATGGGAGAAAAAAAACATAGAAGTTTCGTTCAAACTAATCACTTCATTATCACACACCATCACGCTCACCTTAGCCTCCACGGTTGGTTCGACAAACACACCGAACGGTTTTTTAGGCAGTTCGATTTCAGTAGCCGGCGGTGGCAAATCCAAACCGGCTTTGCGCAGTTCCTCCATACATTTTTCCAACGTTTGGATAACGAAGTCATCATCGTAACCGAAATCGGTATGCAGCTTAGTCTGCAAAACGCAAAGAATTAGAAATTCAAATGGGAAGCCACATACCATACCAAATCACTGACCTGTATGTATTGCACAATTAGATCCATGTCTTTGAGCTTCAAAGTCTTAGTCTTATGCAGACGCAAAATGGTGTAAGCCATGGCAGTAACCACTTTCTCCCCGTCCAGCAGATATACGTCCCAAACGCGTAAACACAGATTGAACGGTATCTGAGGGAGAATGGTGACAAGGGTTAATATTGTCTGCAATTCAAAAAAGCTCCACACGGTAACCGCAAAATACCCAATAATGACTACAAAGTAAGCATTTTCGAGGGAAACTGGGACTACCAATTGAATGAGTAAAAATATTACCTATTTATGAGTATTTTTTATTCAAAAATTAATACTTACTACTTGTTTTTGTTGTTGTAATTACTCATAAATGGGTAAAATTTTACTCATTTAATGGGTAGTCCCAGTTTCCCTCGAAAATGCTTACTTTGTAGTCATTATTGGGTATTTTGCGGTTACCGTGCAATGCACATCCTTACCCTTTCGATAAACACAACAAAGAACCATTTCAACGAGTAGAGTATCGAGTCCAGATTGTACTGGTCAAAGTGTTTCTTCAGCTTTGGTATGAATTTGGCTATGATTTTATCATGGTGCGCTAGGAAGCGTGTCAGTTTGGGGAAGCCTGGAAGTTAATCAGATTAGGTGATATATTTTACATTGTTATCACAATTTCAGCACCTACCTTCTATAAACAAACCATGCATAGCATACTTCCTATCTGACAACAGTATGCTCAACGCCCAGAAGGCTTCCTCTTCGTCCATATACATGAGCAAAACGGCCGCTAGACCGGACATTCCTTGGCAGTAACCAACCTGATGACAGGATCAATAAAATCGTATTATCGTAATCCATATCCAAACAACAAAAGATATTTCCGTCCAACTTACCTCAGTGTTGTACATACTATACGCAACGAGCACATTGAAGAGACTCTTCTGCTTGAGGCTATACCGCTCCCGATAGAATACATGCTCCCGGAACTGTCGATTAACGTCGGAATCTATCTGCCTTGCCTCGGTACTCCAGGTTCGTGCTAGGGTTAGCATTTCTTGATATTTGTTGCGATTATTGGCATCCTTCATTACCTTTTCCAAGTTTAGCAGTTTGCTCCAGACTTGCGACCGTAGACTGTCCGGAATACCCTTGTAGACTCGTTTGTGCAGTTTCGGTTGTCCATATAAGGGCACATCCTTTTTGCTAAGCATTTTGAGCCACTTCTTGACCCGCTCCATCTCGATCTCGTTGGCTTTAGTCTCGTGCGGGTCATGCTTCTGGGGTAAACGTTTGTCGTGGATGAAGCCATATCTGTGTGTGGGCGAAACGGTACAAAATTAGAATATTTGAAGTTCGTACGGTGTTGAGTTAGGAAAATAGTCACTGTTTAAGGGTAGGTACATATATGGGTCTTTCCAGCTCAAGTGGGTACACCACCTGTGGTCGATGTCACCGATTTGAGCCAAACTTGGTCAAAACTCTTATTTTGGCATTCTGAACAAACGCCTTTTTTGATTTTGCTCTAAAGTGCCTAGATCCTTCTGGGCTACAACCCTGTATATTCGAGATTTTTAAAAAAATTTCAACTAACATAAAAGATTACTCCACAACCAAATAAGCTATTCGTGATCTTAGAACGTCTTTACTTCCCTTCCGAAGGAAGGCGTGATCATAGATGTTATGCCTCAGAACATCCCGGCGGCGCCGACTGAGATTGAACCCAGGCCTGCTGGGGTGAGAGGTAATCACGCTTACCACTACACCACCGGCGCCGCTACCTACAAAAGATTCAAAGTTTTTAATTGTCATACCTCCTCTAATTTTACTTATTTCCCAAAGTATTCCTCTTCTTGTTAATCTGCTTAATGCTATTGGTCTGCTTGCGTTTTCTTATTGAAGTTTAAAGCTAAATAGGAAGATTGATTCTACAACTTTAAAGGTTAGTTGCCTCCCTAAGCGGACCCCCGTATCTTAATTGTTTTGTTAATCTACTTAATGTTATTAGACTGTCTGAATTTTCATTTGATGATTATGATATCACATTAGTCTAATTTAATAAATAATTGAAATCTCTAATTCACCCAATAAATCATGACCCATGCTTTATTAAGTACCTGCACTTGTTCTTTTAATCTAAAATTTAACGTGTTTCAAGTACTTTTGACTTTGATCTATATTTATTATATCTTAGTTCGTCCCAGGTGACACCTTCATGTGACTAAAATGCTGCACTTTAAAGTTAGTTTCCTAGCTGATTTTTAAATTATATAGGGTATATGTTCGAACTATGTTCACACGTTTTCACTATGTCGCATCACAAAAATACGTATGGGTATAGGGTTAACTACCCCATTTCCGGCCTATTAAGCACAACCCGCATTTAGTCTTTCTAAATCTAGCGCAGTTTAGCACCAAACGGAATGTTATTATTACCGATGGCTTCCAAATTTATTTACCGTTCCGTATGTACCGTAAGATTTGATAAAAAGAAACCAATCGTTGAGATATTGTCAAAACTCTAGCACTGCTTCTTGACGCCAAACTTGGCCTACGGATTCTATACTCTGCCTAACGCATTAAAACGCCATTGAAACGCTAATGAATTCACTTCGGCCTATCGGATGAAGATAAAAATTGATTGATTGTTTTTGGGAATAATGGGTGCAAACCTTCATATCACGCATTCTCATTGACTTCGTTCGGTAGCGTATTAACTAAAGTATCGTACCAAACGCATAATTGACTTGTTAACTCTGAAATCATAGATTTATTTGAAGTTTTCTGCTCGATAGACCCAAAATGGGCGATTAGGCCGAAGCAGTTCTCTACCCTATCACAATAGAAGCACGCCACAGTGGAAATCCCCGGCCATACTTCAAACACTTATCCCAAATCAAAATGAAGCATCTATAAGATTAGTTGCAATACCATGTTGTAGTTAATTTGGCTCTAGTTTTCTCAATTTTTTACCGATTCAAACCAAACATCCTGCACATAATCGAGAAATTACCAGAGTTTCATAAGTCACACTTGTTGGTCACGTCGCGGGTCTGTATTTACACGTATTTTCCTTGAAGTATGTCCAATGGTGAGACATTTTCATGATTTTTTTTTTATTCTAATATGAACCTAGCACTTTTTCGTTGTCAAATCATAACCGAATCGTATATACGTGACTTTGTGTATCATGCACGATTTATTACTATGTATACCGGAAATTATAGGTTTTCCAAATCGTCCAGGACATCAGTTGATTTGTTCTACTAGATCAACCAAGACTGCAATAATGCTATTTCCGAATAATCCAGATGTTCAAGGTTTTTCAAATCGTCCTGGCAGTGGCGTCACCTTAACCTCAATCTACCTGTGCACCAACTCTCAAAACATAAACAATTATCAAAATATTGCTTGCAATGGATAGATATCGAGTTAACTAGAAGGTTAAGGGTATTTTTCATCCGATACGTTTCTGTTTTTGAAAGTTGGTGCACAGTGAGGTGACGCGACGCCGCGGTCCTGGAGTTCAGATAATTTGATCTACTAGATCAACCGAGATTGGGACAATATCGTTAGTATCGAAATATTTCCAGACAGATGCACAGTGTCTATGTGGATCATGCATGAACTATTGCCATGTATACCAGATATTTTAAGTTCTCCAAATCGTTCTGGAGTTCATTATTCTACTAGATCAACCATGACTGCGATAAAGTCTGTAGTATCGAAATATATCCAAACAGATTTATAGTGTCTATATGGATAATGTTTAATTATTACCACGTATACCAGACGACTAGGTTCTCTAAATCGTCCTGCAGTTCAGATGATTTGTTTTACTAGATCAACAAAGACTGGGATAATATTGGTAATATCGAAATATCGATTTGGAAATCCTAGAACATTTGGCATACACGGAAATAGGTTGGCACGATTCGCATAGACACTGCAAGTTTGTTTGGGCATATGTCGATAAAGGGTTATACGGTCAAAATTTGGTCAATATCAACTTGACGTATTTTTTTCAATTTTGCATTTAAAAAACCTGAACACCCCTCATTTTGAAGGTGTGTGTGTGTAGAATGTTGCTCCTATTTTGATTTTGGAATTCACTCTTCAGTTGTCAAAATGCCGTCCAAGCAAGAAGAGCAGCGTATCAAAATTTTGCTCGCGCATCGCGAAAATCCGAGCTACTCGCACGCAAAGTTGGCAAAATCGCTAAAAGTTGCCAAATCAACCGTTACAAATGTAATTAAAGTGTTTGGGGAACGTTTCTCGACAGCCAGGAAGTCTGGATCGGGGGGAAATCGAAAACCGGAAGCCGCTGAGACGACAAAGAGAGTTGCCGGTAGTTTCAAGCGAAACCCTAACCTCTCTCTCCGAGATGCCGCAAATAAGCTGGGTGTATCGTCTACAACCGTGCATCGAGCCAAAAAACGAGCCGGACTATCGACTTACAAGAAGGTAGTGACTCCAAATCGCGATGATAAACAAAATACGACGGCCAAAGCGCGATCCCGGAGGCTGTACACGACGATGCTGACGAAGTTTGACTGCGTGGTAATGGACGACGAAACCTACGTCAAAGCCGACTACAAGCAGCTTCCGGGACAGGAGTTTTATACGGCAAAAGGAAGGGGAAAGGTAGCAGATGTTTTCAAGCACATGAAACTGTCAAAGTTCGCAAAGAAATATCTGGTTTGGCAAGCCATCTGTACCTGTGGCTTGAAAAGCAGCATTTTCATAGCTTCCGGGACTGTCAACCAAGAAATTTACGTGAAAGAGTGTTTGAATAAACGTCTGCTGCCTTTCCTGAAGAAACACGGTTGTTCCGTACTGTTTTGGCCGGATTTGGCATCTTGCCATTACGGTAAAAAGGCCATGGAGTGGTACGCCGCCAACAACGTGCAGGTGGTTCCCAAGGACAAGAACCCTCCCAACACGCCAGAGCTCCGCCCAATTGAGAAATACTGGGCTATTGTCAAGCGGAACCTAAAGAAGACCAAAAAAACTGCTAAGGGCGAGCAGCAGTTCAAGGCAAACTGGCTTTCTGCGGCGAAGAAGGTGGACAAGGTGGCTGTACAAAATCTGATGGCAGGGGTCAAGCGTAAGGCCCGGCAATTCGGATTTGGAAAAGCGGAAGCCTAACTGAATATTTTTCCTGAATTTTATACTAATTGAACTTCAAAAAGAAATTTAATTTGATTTTTTAAATAAACGATTTCACCGATTTACACGCGTTTTCCCTTGACCAAATTTTGACCGTATCACCCTTTACTACAGATATCGAATTAGTCTTGGGTGATCTAGTTGAAAAATAATCTGATCTCCAGAATGATTTCAGAACCTATAACATCTTGTATACCTATTAATAGGTCGGACACAATCCACATAGACACTTTGAATCTGTTTTCATTTTCATTTTGCAGCGCAGGATGGGGCAGTAAAGGGCCACCCACATTAGATCCGTTTGCGTTGCGTTGACGTAAATTTGATAGTTAGACAATAGATTTAGCTGTCACTTTGCCGCAACGCGTCCGATCCGGATCTAATGTGCGTGGGCCTTAAGAGCGCAAGTCAATCCAAGGCCGATAGTAAAGGAGGGGTAATGGCTGACTCGCCACATGCGGGCTACATGATCGCCATGGGAAGGGATAATGATTAGATTGAGGTAGGTGGTTGGATGTTTTGACGTAGGACTACGTCTTTGATTTCTATATTTGGGTACACTTTGTGAAAAACAAAAATGGAACATGTAACAAATTAAGAAAGATTTTGAACGTTAATAACTCAGCTTTCCCTGGTCCAATTTCAATAATTTAATCACAAATCGATCAGAAATATGGATACGCATCGATAACAATGCTTCCGAATGTTAATTTTTAACAAGAAACTACTGAAAAACTGGTAAATGTCCAGCATTTTCCAAAAGCATTGAATTAACTAACAAATCCACCAATTACCTACATACATATGCTGCTTCCCCAGCACAGTCGTCAGAGAGTAGTAAGTAGACGAAACAAGTCGAAGTGACATTCGCCTCCGATCCTCGGGCGCGTGCGAATAGGGAGGATGAAATTGCGTAATATTTTGCACACTCATCGCCATATTCAGAACCAAACACAAATTCTTCAAGATAACCACCATCTGTCGTCTGGCTCGCCGTGGCGGTGTCTGACGTATCTCCGGTCTGATTTAATGTGCTGAAGGTGTTCCTGAAAAATGAGATCCGTGATGCTGTCACCTACACTAAACACGCCAAGCGTAAGCGGCCATGGATGTCATCTACGTTTTGAAGTGACAGAGACGCACTC